CTTGACGTAATACTTAAAATGAAGAAGGAATAGGAACTTAATCACTGCATACATCATGAAGAGAAACTAAGCAACAGCAAATTTTGCTCAAATTGGTTAACTGGGTTCTGAGTTAAGAAGAAAACAAGAAATAAAAAAGTAACTTTAACACTCCGTAACTTTTTTTGCGACATTTTTCGTTCGTTTAAGCAAGTTTGGTTAAATCGAAGTATGTAACATTCGTTAGGTGACATCCTGTACAAGTAAAGATAAATCGCAATGATTTGCACTGTGCAGATTTTTCCAATTTCTGATTGGTTTGCGCAGACACTTGTGTTGAGTAGATGGTTAAACTGTAGCGGTAGCACTTTTTCAGTGCATAGTAAAAATCGCTGGGATCATCAAGTGTGCACACTGACTTTTTTTTTAAAACGGGATGTACAGTACACGTGTACCGGTACTGAGCGACAGAGTTGCAAGGTTTCGATGGATGTACATTATTTTTTTCGTGTTCGTCGAAAATGTTATTGTAAACTTGAACTTCTTATCTTATCTGTAGGAATTGGTGGAGTATGTTTGGCAATTTTTTTTATTCCAGTATTTACACTCCAATCAAATATTTTTTTGAACTGTGGACTCAACTGATCCGCATAAAACCGTATTTTGTAATCTCACTAAATGGAATATAATACGAATTCTAGGAATGACCTTGAAAAAAAAAGAAATATCCGTCTTTGGCTTTGACTTGATCCTAAAACAAACATTAAAAGTGTTTTATGTATTGTTACCGGTCACAAAAAAGACAAAACTTTGCCAATAAGACTGCATAACGACTGCCAATACAAATCTCTCTTTAGGTCGCTTTTACTGAAGGATAAGAAGATAATTTCGATGAATTTCTAATCTTATTGAGCCTTTGCAACTAGTACTATTTAATCTTATACATGCGGGACAGAACGATCGCGAAAAATAACAAATTACGATGGCAAGAGTGTCACATCTCAAGTGAGATGCTTTTCACGATACGAATGTGGCGCTTGCAATGGCATACGACATGTGAAAACAATGTAGCGATAAGAGCGATATAATGCCTCAGATGCTTATCGATTTGTTATTTGTTAGCTTTACTAGTCGTTTCAGCCGTGTTGTCGTCTAATTTTAGCTACAGTACGAATCACATTCGGCTGCTCATTCAGTAACGTTTAGTTTATAAATGACTTTTAGTTTATCAGTAAGCCTCAACCCCCTAAATATACTGGGTGTCTGCGAAAGGTTGGGAAATCTCGAAGCTGAAAATATATACAAATATCTCGATAACCAAAGGAGATATCGAAAACGAACAAGAGTAACTTTTTTTTGAACAAGGACGTTCTATCATATTTTTAATATACAATGTCCATAATTCTAAAAGCCAAAAAAAATTTCCCAGTTTATCAAAGGAATAGGGCATAATTGACGCTCTATACAAGCACCGCCAAAATTAGTTAAAATTCTTATTTGTCATGTCAAAAAACATAGTAGTGCCAATTTTTTTTTTTTCATACTCTGATAGTTTTCAAAATTATTGAGAAATTTCAAAATAAAATTCAAACATTGAACGCCCTGTATCTATGAAACCAGCAACATTGGCATAAGACATATTTGGCTCAATCGACTTATTTGTGCTATAGTTCAAGCTTTTTCCCTGTTTATTGATATTTTTCCACCTGTGAAATAAAGTCAATTAAAGAAATCTTTGTACCAAAAGGTTCAAAAGGTATATTTTTTACTTCATATACATACCTCTAAAATGTGTTTATTTATATGTATCAATAAATCGTGCGTTAATCTAGATTTTAAGTTATCATTTTGAGTAAGTATTTGATATATTATTTATATCAGTATTTATGTAATCACAAGCAGAGGTATTATTTTCTGGTTTAAAAGAGAAAGATAATTGAGTTTCATCAGCATAACACTGCACTTCACTATATCCGATAGAATGAAAACTATCTGCAGTATATACAATATATCGAAAATAGCACCGGTCCTAAAACGGATCCCTAGGGAATACCAGAAGTTATATGAGCAATATCTGAAAATTCAGTATTAAATAGAACTATCTGGCGACGGTTAGACAAGTAAGTGTTAAAAAAATGTATTAAATTTTTATTAAACCCATAGTAACGCAGTTGAGCATATAAAAGTAAATGTTCGAGAGTATCGAATGCTTTGAAAAAATCTAGCAAAATGAATGTTCTAAAGTTCGTAATGCATTATACATGTAGGGTGTTTTACAAGCTCTATGACAAACTTTGAGAGTAGCTGTATTAATTTCAAACATTTTTTCTTATACGAACATAGATCCGATTCGTTTTTGTTTATAAGTTACAAGCATTTTAAAAAATAACATTTCATATTTCAAAGTAGCTTGATAAATAAAAATTATAGTTGCTATAACCATAATTATTATTTATATTTAATGTTTCAATATTAGTTTAACAAATTTTAAGACTATAAAATGACTACAAAATGTCTACTCTCGGCTCGAATGCAAATCTCACATCGGCGAATTAAAGATTTCTCACTTGAGATTTGGATTATTTCTATTCCAGTTAGCTGCATTCTGAATTATTTCAAGTGACTGCTGACGGGTAGTGATTTCAACATGGTAAACAGGCTGCTTCATATGTCCCCATAAATAAAAGTCCAAAGGATTTAAATCTGGGGAACGCAGTAGCTATGCGATTGGAGCTTGTTGACCTATCCATTGTTGCATGATACAATACATATACATATAACCAAGCAGTTACTTGTCTCTATTTTGAACAATATTGAGCCCTACGACTTCAATGAAATCGAAAAGGTTGTTTTCCAGGAAAGTTCAGTATTAAATGCATTTAAACGATAATTTAAAACATGTACAGGCAATAAATAATAAATAATAATAAACCGTTGACACTGAAACATTGCTAAAATCGTCTTGATTGCATACGAATCTTGTATACAGGGTGTTCCTAAATATCATGTACATAAGGAAGGGGGTAATTCTTTGGCTTATTTTATGACTAAAAGTTCGTATAAACATAGGTCCGCAAACCCTTCGTTACCGATCTACAGGGTGCTGAAATTTTAAGATTTTTTTAGTTTTTTCTCTATAGCTCCCACAGTTTTTGAGATATTTAGCTGAAATTTGGAATATAGGTAGGGCTTACATCATTGGGCACGCCAAATGGTCGTGATATTGTACAGAGTGATATTTTTTCGGGGTTCATGCCCCCTTTTCTTCCCCTGAACTTTTGTGCGGTGCCCCGCTGGTAGATTCTAAAATCAAAATTGAATTTTATGTTTTGTTGAGAAACTTTTTTGCCCCTTATGATTTTTTCGTATCTACGACCGTTATCGAGAAGAAAAATAAAAAACGATTTTATGTAATTTGTTAGATGAAATTTAAATTCTTAAAAAGGTCCAGTAGGCTCTGGCTTTATTTAGATAATTTCTTGTTTCTATTAATTTTGACAGTTCGCATATGAAATAGTACTTGGGTCTGCATATGTTTAAAAATTAAAGGTTTATGTTACAAACTGTAAGGTGTAAAAGTGTTTTATTAAATACTCATTGTAATCTCAGAACAATGCCAAATTTTACGAATTTTGAAATGGGTCATTAATAGAAACAAGAGATTATCTAGATAAAGCCAGAGCCTACTGGACCATTTTAAGAATTTAAATTTCATCTAACGATTTACATAAAAAAAAAATATTTTTTTTCTCGATAACGGTCGCAGTTACGAAAAAATATAAGAAGCAAAAAAAGTTTCTCAACAAAACATAAAATCCAATTTTGATTTTAGTATCTACACAAAAGTTGAGGGGAAGAAAAAGGGGCATGAACGAAATGATGCACTAAAGACTATGTGGGCAGGTTGATGTCTATTTGAGTATCTTCGTCGGTATTCTCAGGCTGCTCGTCTGGTGTTCTCATTGGAATACAAAATTCAAAGACAATATCTGCATAGGTAGGTACTTGCGGAAATCAGACAGAAGAAGGAATAACTTTGTTTTCAATTATGTAATCATATAACTGATATTGGATAAGTTTTTTAAATACATTCGATAAAGTTGGGATTATCGTAATTGGTCTTAAACCAGAAAAAAATTCTGGATCATTCTTCTCCGCAAGAGATCTAATGGTGGACAATTTCCAAATATCAGGAAAATAGATATGTAGACAGATTTACTTTGGAATTATGCATTAAGCAGCATCCTGAGCGAGATTATGTTCCAATATATTATTTTCTGCTTCCGAAAATGACTGTCACATTTTTTATGTTGATATCTACATTCTGTAGGTATAGTTTTGTAAACTAGACCCAAATTATCGCTTCGAGTACTGGTTTTGCACGAATAACATACCGGAAACTTTCGCGGAAAGTAAAGTTACTAGGAATATTCGAAGACAATTTCTTGAGGCTGTAAAATTTCGACCAGGAAAGTTTCCTCTGTTCGCCCCTAGAAAAATACGTGCATATTCTTGCGTTAGAGCGACCAATTTCCTTATCGCTATTGAAAGCTTTCATCGAATCGACAAGGAAGTGACGAAACGGCGTTTGTGTGGTCGGATTCCGATGAATCGCAACGGAGGACCGTCGGTCGCGACGCGTACCCACTGCCAACGGATCAGCTGACCAAGAAACGGAAAAGTATGCCGCCCGCCTTAATCGCTATGCAATTCTTTTCCTTCTCCGCACCGAGGCGGATTCGAGTCGCGAGACGGTGTCGACGGCGAGCCGCACTTGGTGGGGTTGCGTATTTGGGTTACCACTTTGCATCGCACCGCTCTCGCGTTCTCCGCGTGACCTATTTCCGAATTTCGTGTTGCGCCACCACGGCAGCAGCACGCCACACGGCCCTCTTCTCTCTCTCGGACGCTATGCAGCGCTAGCCGCCGCCGCCGCCACCGCCGCCGCTTTCGATCCCGCCTAACGGCAATCAGACAATCGAAGCCGCGAATCCTGCCGATAGCGGGCTGCCTGCGTGCTATGCGTGAGAGCGCGTGTTGCATTTTGGGTTTAGTGTAGATAGTGAACGTGTCCGAATTCGCGTGCACTGCGCCTCTGTCCCGCGATGTGCTGGTTGTCGTCGATGTAGTGTGTCCTCCCTCGGGATTGCGTAACGAATCTACGTAAGTAACTCCTTCATTGTTCGGGTGGTTTTATATGGGAAGTGTGTGTGTGTGGTTGGTACGGAAAATCTTCTGGTGTGTGCGATTAGCCACTAGGCGAGGTTAATGTTGCCGCTGCTGCTGTGTAGAGCCAACTGCTTGGTGCGCATGGCTTGGCCTTAATAGCAAGGCCACATCTAGTGTGCGTACGGCAAATAGGTACGAGTGGGGTCAGGTCCGGCTCTCGCGACGCGATGCCCCTTGCAACGCGCGCGGGATTACGAGGGAAAACTGCCCCAACTTGAAAAAAAACTGCAGTTGGCAGTAACGACTGGCGCCCAACATTAATAAAACATCGAACGATACGTCAAATGAATCAAATCGATGTCGGCAAAGTATCGATATGGATTTAAAAAACATATCCCTCTTATCAGCTCTCGTGTATATACTTTATGTTTATAATATCAAATTTATAGTATCAAATTACAAAAAAAGTAGCAGTACCTAATGGTGCCTTATATTTACAAACAAAATCAGTTCAAAATAGTGCAAAAAACTAACAATGGAAAAAACACTTATAGTCCCGACGNACGGAAAGTCTTCTGGTGTGTGCGATTAGCCACTAGGCGAGGTTAATGTTGCCGCTGCTGCTGTATAGAGCCAACTGCTTGGTGCGCATGGCTTGGCCTTAATAGCAAGGCCACATCTAGTGTGCGTACGGCAAATAGGTACGAGTGGGGTCAGGTCCGGCTCTCGCGACGCGATGCCCCTTGCAACGCGCGCGGGATTACGAGGGAAAACTGCCCCAACTTGAAAAAAAACTGCAGTTGGCAGTAACCACTGGCGCCCAACATTAATAAAACATCGAACGATACGTCAAATGAATCAAATCGATGTCGGCAAAGTATCGATATGGATTTAAAAAACATATCCCTCTTATCAGCTCTCGTGTATATACTTTATGTTTATAATATCAAATTTATAGTATCAAATTACAAAAAAAGTAGCAGTACCTAATAGTGCCTTATATTTACAAACAAAATCAGTTCAAAATAGTGCAAAAAACTAACAATGGAAAAAACACTTATAGTCCCGACGATATCTGTTTCAAAAAGCCATATTTGGTCAATCGTATATCCACGGAGATTTTTGGCATTTTGGCTTTCAAATATCACTAGAAATGAAAATATTTCTATACGCATAAAAAAAAACTTGGGCGTGGGTGATCAATCGATTTTTTAAAGAAGCGTCTTTCCAAGAACTTTTAAAACCTGCTTTAAAAATGTTGATTTGATTGAATATTCACACAGTTATTCTAATTGTTTGTAAGTACAAAAATTCGACCAATGTTAAAACAAGCGCCAGAGCTCTCCTAATTGACGGATTCGGAATTTTAAAAAAAAAGTTTGAAAGCTTGAGAGCCCTTCTATATATGATTAAATATTCAAGTATCTAAGGGCCTTGGTTTTTGCTGTGCAAAATTTTGAAATTGCAAAATTATTATGCAAAATCTATAGAACCGATTTTGATGAAATTTGGTGTGATAATTCTACATAACATGAAGTTTTTTTGAGCCAAGTATAAAGGTCCTATACCCAATTTAAATACCCCAAAAAAAAATCCCTAAAAAGTATTGTTTTTAACCGCATTTTTGCGATTTTTTCGATTTTTACCATATTATACACGATTCATTCGATTTGTAACTAAACATGTTTTGTAAAAAAATTAATTGCAAACATTTTTTTCCTCTTCCATTTTCGCCTAAAATCAACTCTTGAAAAGATACATAATTAAATAGGAAGAAAAATATGACATTTTTCGAATTTTTTAAACATATTGTGCCGCCAGAAGTTAAGCCCACGTTTTTTTATGCGCATACAAAAATTTTCATTTCTAGTGATATTTGAAAACCAAAATGCCAAAAATCTCCGTGGATATACGATTCACCCAAACCAAAACAGATACCGCCTTCTATTATGATTATAAAGTAAAAATAAATAATAATAATTTGTATATTTTTACAAACACAGAAGTGAAATAACTTACAAAAGTACAAAGTAAAAAATATACAGGGCGTTAATGATACGTTTTGCCAAACTTTAATGGCATATTCTGCCGATGAAAATAATCACGTTTTTTTAGTAGGGACTATTTTTTCATGGAAAACTTATTCCAAAATACACTCCAGTGGCGTAGTTATTGGGAAAGTAGGGGACTTATTTGGAAAAAAAATCGTACGCCACTGGTTTTTTAAATAATTTTGTTGGGATTATGGGTAAAACTAAAACACTTTAATAATTAAAAGATATTGTTTATTCACTTATTCAGATAGCACATCTATTCTGTATCAAATCAGATTAAAAACTAAACTCTCTCTTAAGTTTTAGTGCTACAATATACCTCCGTATGTTTATAAGCATTTTTAATTTATGAGCTAAGGGTTTGAGAAATATACACATTGCAAGTAAGCATTAGTATCTAAGGATGGGAATGTTTTTGTTTACGTAACTTGAGTATCTTTCAACAAATTTTAAATGTTTTTAAAATGTACAATCAATTCGTGGCAATAAAGTATTCTTGTAAAGTTTTCGTAAAATTTACTGATCTTTAGCTAATAGGGAGATCAATTAATAAGATACTTAAGTACCTACGTTGTTATTTACCATTTTCTATTGATTGCTAAATGTGTAACAATAAACCCAATACCTAATATTTTTGAGAGTTCAAAACACTACACAACATAACAAGAAATGTTCAAAATGCTGTCCTTGGGACGCAATGCATTTTAAAACTTTGGACCGTTATAGAATATAAATTGTTCAAAATGTGTTCTTCTTACGTAGAGGTATTCGAATTTTTGGCATCATGTAGATTTTGGTATTTTTAATATATCCACAAGATAAAAATTTGTTTTAATGACATACTGTTTTCAATATGAGATTCTGAATTACTTCTAATCTATGAGTATAACTTTTATAAGTCCCACCCCAAGCAGTAAAACAATAATTGAACATGCATTTGAGTGAGTTGATTCCTTCAGTTATTTTACCTCGAACATCTAAAAAACCTTCTTCATTTACATATATTAAATATAGAATAGGACCTAAAACAGAAACTTGGGGAACTCCCATAGAACAAGTTAATGATTCACTAAGTGAATTAATTATTTTGACAGTTTGAACACGATGTCAGAGGTAGTTCTTGCAAATTTGAAATGCTAAACCACATACACAAGTGCTTTCTAATCTTGAAACAAAATATCGCGGTTTACCATATCAAACGCTTTGGAGAGATCCAAAATAAAACTAATGAATTTTTTATTTCCATTTTGGTTGCTTATTACATAAGAAATTAGTTGTGAATAGCGTCTGAACCAGTATATTTATGGAAGCCGAATTTTTTTTTACTAAAAAAGTTCGTTAACTTAACGTTTATCACTTATTAGGAAACGGAAATATTATTGGTTAAGCTATCATAAGATACTCGAATAGATTATTTATATAAAAGTTGAGAAATCGGTTAATAAAACTGTTAGGGAAAAACATGAGTTTGTACAAGGGGGGTCTACTGTTACCAATCTACTTATATTTTCTGACTATGTATTACAAAATATGGAAGACATACTGTAAACTGATGATATTTTAACAAAATTATAAACCATATTAGAAAATTTTGGTTTTCAAAATTCGTTAAAATATTTCGTTGCAAGTTTGAGTAAGAAATCTTTTAAAATTAAATATTATGGTAGCCTATCATCAGCAGTCTATCATGCTAACTCTGGAGTTCCACAAGGCACAAATTTTGGCCCTTTGTTAGTCTTCCTATTTATAAACGATTTACCAAATGTTATAATCAGAATGTCTATGTGCAGATATGAAATTTTACATTAAAATTAGATCTCTTCAAGAATGTACATTTTTAAACCACGACTATATCACTGTGTAATTATGTATTAGAGAAGAGATAAAATCATTTTTAATTACAAAACAGATGGGTGAAATGTAGCTTAGACCTTAACGAGTTGAAGGGTTTGAGAGTACAATATGATTATAGTTTTGAAGTTTGAAAGTGAGACTAAAAAAAAATAGAAACTCCATATAACTTATGAGACACAGCATAGAAAATGTACATAATAAGTTCTTGAGATACTTGTGTTTTAAAAAACAAAAAATGCCCCTGACTGAGATTGCAATTGAGAAAATTTAAAATTATCAATTTTATAAACTAAAAAAATCTCCAATACAATATCATTAAACAGCTTCTAATACCGTGAGAGAGAGAAAGAGCAAAATTCGCATCACATTCAAATCTATGTACTACGCATACACTGTTTGTTCAGTTTGACTAGATGCAGTTTCCATTTTCACTTTCTCTTACGCAATCACCATAGAAATGCCTAAATATCGAAGTACAATCTACCTCGGGAGCGTTATAAGAAAGATTTTAGATGTAATTCCTTGATTTATACCATCGTTGCAACAACCTAAATTACTGTTAACCTAATTACTGTTCACCTAAAAATTAGTCACTACTACTACAGCAAGATGTAAACAATTTTATAGTTATGTTATAATGGAAAGTATACAACTAATTGTAAGTACGCGATGGGCTTGAACAATGTTTATTGTGATTCTAAACGAGACAGATTTATTTACTTTGCCAATTCAACGCAGTAGCTATTTGTAAACATAACCATTCATCTAATGCTTCTTATTTAAATGAATTGTGAAATATTTGAAGTATAAACCCACACACGAGTGTTTACCTTTCGTCCTAGGGTTTTTCCTAATTATTCATAAAAAATAACGCATATGTTTTTGAAAATGCGATAAGTGCTAATCTACTTCCTTTTTTATTACATTCAGGTGGAATTTTTTAAATAGTTTTAAGACTAGTCTAATTTAAACTAAATTGGAACACAACTAAAGATAATTATACCCAATATAACTAATAAATAACATTCAATCTCAATTTACGATATCGAAATCATAACTCTCGTCAGAACAAAGGTAAATATGGAC